TGACTTTGTGGTTCAAACTGACTTTGAAGTGCAGCACATTAACCACAGCGCCACCCCAGAGCTATACTTGCTCTTTCTCCTTGGAAATTCTTTTCCCTCCTTTACTTTTCATGTCAAATTTGTGTTCACCCTTTTGAACTAATCTAGCTGCCCATCAGAATCTGCTCTCGTACTGTGGGATCAGCACTGGACTTGAACCATAAGGTCAGCAGTTCAAACCCACCAGCTGTTCTTGGAAACCTTGTACAATGTTCCTGTGGGTTGGAATGGACTCGATGGCACACAGCAATAACAACAAACTTGACCTAAGGAGACCTGGTGGTGCAGTGCTTAGGCGCTTGACTACTGACCATAAGGTTGATGGTTTACACCTCCTAGGTGGTCCTAGGAGAAAAGGCCTAACAGTGTGCTCTGGTAAAGATGGTCACCGAGGAAACGCCGAGGGGCCAATCTTCTTAGTCCCAAAGGGCTCACTGTGAGTCGGAATTGAAGCCACACAAACACCAAGCCGGATTGGGAGTCCCAGGTGGTACATTAAGATAACACACGGCGCTGTTAACCGACAGGTCTGGAAATGTTGGTCTTTCCAGAGGAGCCTCGGAAGAAAGGCCTGGTGGTCTGCTTCTAAGAAACTCAGCCTCTGGAAGTCGTGCAGAGCACAGTTCTACTGTGACTCTCACGGGGCTGTTGGGAGTGTGAACTAACAGGCCTGCAACCGGAAAACTCAGCTTCAGCCTCTGCAAGCCCTTGTTTTGTGTTAGACACAGCATTAGGCCCTGGCGAGCTTTTCAGATAGGGGTCCTCACCCTGGTGAAGCACTGACACCGTCCCTGACAGCCCAGGCCAGGTGGACCTGGTCACTGAGCTAGAGCCTGAGCCAGAGCAGACATCCCCACAGACTACACTCTGCCTGCAGAGCACCGCTGTCTCCGTGGCCTCGGGATAGCCTCGCACAGAGTCACCGTTCACACGTTATTTGTTGAGTGGTAGGAGGAGAGAACCCATCTTCTTAGAGCATTGTTTCCTTTAGTTGCAAAATGAAAAACTTGGCTCAGTCGCTGTAGTCACATTCATCTACTGCTTAGTGGCATGGAGCAGATTATTGGGGTGCACACACACAGGTGGTCACTAGTAGTGACCCCGTCCTGGTCAGAGCCAGAGTACCCAAGATGCTTTTAGAGTGACACGCACGGAAAGGCACATAGGAATCCGTGTCCATGCTAAGTAAGGGTCAGCACCGAAGGCTCAGGTTTACACTGACGTCACTGGGCCTGAGCCCTGGAACAGCCCTGGGCTGACATTACCACAGGTCTGCTGTGAGGCTGCACATCAGGTTGGCGGGCAGGCCCCCTGTACTCTGGGTCTGAGTGTGTTCCGGTTCCCGACCCAGTTATCCGTTCAGTAGATGCCAGTTTCCACTCTCCCTGTTTCTGCCTCCCACTGGGCTCACCTGCTGTCCCGCTGTTCCTGGTGCGGTGACAGAAGACTTCTCCCTGGGGCACAGATGTTCAGGGTCTGCCTCTCATCCGAGAACAGAGCATGCACACACTCCGTCCCAGGAAGCCCCCGTGAGCCTCGTTTTCCCAGATTTTTATTGGCTTCATTAGGGCCTCCTGAGGCTCATCAGCATCTGCCCCAGGTGTTCTCTCTTAGCTGGGTCTGCTTTCACCCACTGGCCTCAGGTCTGGTCCTATTCCAAGAACTAGAACCAGAGGCCAGACCAACTGTGCATAGGACTTCCATGCCTCACAGTCACCTGACACATACTGGCTGGCCTCCTATGTGCAAGGCACTGTCCTAGGCTCTAAGCACACATAAGACATAGTGCCTGTCCTCTTGGGGCTTCCTTCTAGTTCTTTCATCTAGAAAATTGTTTGGATCTGTGTTCTGAATAGAAAGAGAGAGGAGGGTCCAACTTTCACATGCATATGAGGCTACTGAAAATAGCATGGCTGGGGTCAGATAAACCTTAGTTCTCAAACTGACACCTTTGCTCTTGAACACTTTAAAAGAGGTCTTGTGCAGCAGATTTGCCTAATGCAGTAATACATCATTTGATTTCTTTTTCT